AACTAACAAACTTGACTGACTCAAACTCCTGACTCCAAATAACAAGGGATGCACTAACTCGTAACACTCCCCCTTAGTGCATTCCCTCGATCAATAAGACCAAGTCTTGTTCGGAATTCTTCAAACTTATCTCTAGAGAGAGCCTTGGTAAAACCTTCTGCAACCTGCTCAATTGTACGTATGGCACATAACTCAATTTCTTGATTCAACACCTTTTCCCGAACAAAATGATAGTGAGTAGCAATATGTTTTGTACGGGCGTGAAACACAGGATTTTCAGCAAGTTTGATGGCACTTTCGTTATCACAGAAAATAGAAATAGGATTGTTTGTGGCTGCACAGACATCATAAAGAAGTCTTACAAGCCAAATACACTCTTGAGTAGCCAATGTGGCTGCGACATATTCAGCTTCTGCACTTGACAATGCCACCGTGCTTTGCTTCTTACTGCACCAAGATATAACTGCTGAACCAGTATTAAAACAATAACCTGAAGTGGAACGTCTATCATTCACATCTCCAGCCCAATCGACATCGATAAAGCCTTGCAGAGAATATACCTTTTGACGTTGATACAACAACCCATGATCCAAAGTTCCCTTTACATACCTTATTATCCGTTTTGCAGCAGCCATATGACCATTGCATGGTCGCTCCATAAACTCAGACACCACGCCCACTGGGTATGTAATATCTGGCTGAGTTATCGTCAGATATAATAAACTTCCCACCATCCTGCGGTACTCAGTTACTTCGTTTAAAGGCTCTCCTTCATCCTTCTGTAATTTGCAACCTGGATCCATAGGAGTAGTTGTAGAATTTGCATTTTCCATATCGAACCGCTTCAAAATCCTTGCAACATATCCCTTTTGTGAAAGAAAGTAACCGTTTGATCTTTCAATCGTGCCATCTGCTGCATTCTTTAACTTGTAAACCCATTTACAAGTAAGAACATCGACATCATTGGGTTTAGGAACTAGATCCCAGGCAGAACTTTTCATCAAGGCTGCAATTTCATCTCTCATTGCACCTTCCCATTCAGGCTTTCCATGAGCTTCGTGATAGGATATGGGCTCATTTTCAAATGTGTCTTCCAGCATAAAACACGAAACAACAGTGCAATGATTGAGCTGGACTTCGTAATCATGCAAATGAGTGGGAAATTTTCTTTGCCTTGACGTCCTTCTTAGTGTAGCTTCACCTAGTGACCGACTATTATGAGATATGAGCTTCAAACTCCCCCTTTCACTGCAATCGGATTCGGTAGAAATTGACTCAAGGCTAGAATCAGTAAGTGGCACAAGTTCAGAACTTCCTCCATGATCAGTAGCTGGATATACAGTAGAGACTTCATCAAAGACAACATCATGGGAAACAACAATCTTCTTAGAGTCAAGATCCATACATCTCCATCCTTTCCTGTAAGCATCATAGCCAACAAACAAACACTTTCTTGCTTTTGAGTCAAGCTTAGTTCGGCTATGTTTAGGTACATGGACATAGCAGAGAGAACCAAAAACTCTAAAATAACTTACATCAGGCTTCTTATTGTATATCATCTCAAAAGGTGATTTTGATGTACCTGGCCATGGAGGCAATCGATTAATTACATGATAAGCACATTGCATAGATGCTGCCCATAGCTCTCAAGGAAGATTCTTATCATGCAACCAAGATAATGTGACTGCTGTAAGATGGGCTAATTTTCACTCAGCAACCCCATTCTCCTGTGGGGTATTTGGACACGTGATTTGTCATTGGATGCCATGCTCTTCACAGAATTTTGAAAATTCATGAGACAAAAATTCTCCTCCATTATCTGTACATAAACACTTTATGGCTGACTCGAACTCCCTTTCCACCATCATCTTGAACTGCAAAAATTTGGTAAGAGCTTCACTCTTGTTCTCCAGAAAGTACACCCAACTGTACCGAGAGTAATCATCCACAATAATCATCATATAACGGTAGCCACTATAACTTGGTGTTCTGGTTGGTCCCATAAGATCAGAGTGCACAAGCTGAAACGTAGCGGATGAACGATTCATGGACTTCTGAAATGGAAGATGATTCGACTTTCCATATTGGCAACCAACACATACAACATCTGAATGTACTGTTTTAAAGAAAGGGACACCTCCAAGCAACTTGTTTGTTGATATTTGTTGCAATAGCTGGTAGCCAACGTGCCCAAGACAAGAATGCCACAGTGAGACACTAGTGTTTTGACTTGTTTTTTCCACATAAGCCTCACTTGCAGACAAAACATACAAATAATTTTTCTTTGTTCCAGTAAATAAAATGTCAGCATCGACACCTTTTAGGTTACTAAGATTCTGATCATTGTCGGGACCAAACAACACATACCTTCTTGAGTCAGTGATTTGAGAGACTGAAGCAAGATTTTTCTTTAAACCCGGTACTTGGTACACATCTTCAAGAGTAAGACCTTCACCGTTCGAATTTTTAGTTATGAACTGCCCTTCTTTCATCACAGGATGTAATGAATTGTCAGCAGTCACAATCACTCGCTTTCTCAAGTGAGGACGAACATCAGAGAGTAATGTAGCATCTTCAGTGGCATGGTGTGAGCAGCCCGAATCAACAATCTAGTCCTTCTCATAATCAATGCAACTAGTAGCATCTATATTTCTATCACTTTGATGCATAATAGAAGCAATGTTATCAGGGTGATTTATTACCTCAATAGACAGACAATTGTCCCATTTCGGCTCATTGACATCTTTTGCTTCATGTGCTACATTAACATCTGATGCTGTAAGCTTAACGCGACAGTTTGGCTTAATATGTCCAGGTTTGCCGCACCTTTTACAAATTATCTTTGCACGGCAATTTGACTTTATGTGCCCCACCTTTCCGCACCGAAAACATGTTAGCTTGGAATTTCTTGATTGCTCCCATTCTGCCTTTTGCTGCTTACCACTGCTTGATGAGGGCCTGTAAGCATGCTTTGACTTCGACTTGTCCTTGACAAAAAATGCATCTTCAACATTAGAGGGAGACTTGCCACACACTTGTGTCACCAAGGCTTCCTGATTCGATAATAAATTTTCCAACTCAACAATTGATAGTTGATTCGTCCACCCTTGAATAGATGAGATAAAAGGCATAAATTCTTTTCTCAGACCACGAATCAGGTAGCGCCGTAACCTTGCATCACTTATAGGTTCTTCACTGTCCAATTCTGAAATTTCTACACACATTTTTTACCTTGATGAAATAATCAGAAATGGACATATTACCTTGATTTAAAGAAGCAAGATCATTTTCAAGGTATTGCAGTCGCATTGCAATTTTCTGAGTGAATAATCTTTCAAGAGTGTTCCAAATTTCCTTCGGAGAATCAAACTCACGAACATGATCAATGTACTCCTTACTGATCGATGTTCTGAGCGCAAACAGAGCCTTCCCACACTTTATCTTCCATTTTTGTCTTGCATCGGCAAGCTGTGGAGTATCTTCTGGAAGTGTATCATCACCGGAAGCAAGATCCCACAGATCTTGTCCTTGAAGGTAGGCCTCCATACACAAACGCCAATATTTGTAATTTGTGCCAACAAGCTTCTCAATAGTCATCTGAGAAGCACTATTTCCACCATTCATGGTGACAAGAAAAGTAAAGAAAACTCTCAACAATATTTCTCACTGAGCAATGAAATAAAATTGAACACTTGGCAGCAAACCTGGCTCTGATACCATATAATAAAAGAACTGAACAGAAAATATATATTTATTACTCAATGAGAACAGAAAATAGATTCTGGAAGTAAAGACTCAAGTCACTCTGCCGTACTTGAGTTTACAGGACTCTAATTTATAAGAAAAATAAATCTAACTGCTTCCTAATATTTCTCAATCAACTAAGACTTAGTGGACTCCTATTTTCACTCAACTGACTCTGACCAAAACAAACAACGACAGAACATGGCTAAAGAAAAATTCAAATAAAAATCTATAAACTAACAAACTTGACTCACACATACTCCTGACTCCAAATAACAAGGGATGCACTAACCAGGCAAGGTCGCTCCGATGCTTAAGTCAGTACTCTCATAGTAGATTACGAGTTAAAAATCACAAAGTATGAGAGCTAGAATATGCTTACTTGCCCCCTTATGTCATTTGGGTTGATGCCTTTATATAGGCATTGTTTGACATGGGCTTCATGCACCATATCCGAGATTTTCGAGAAGTCGTCTAAGTGGTCCGAGGTTTCCTAAGGTAACCGCCATGCACGTTGACTACCCTTTGGATCGTTCGGCACATGGCCCAACTTCCAAGGATCGTGAGAGTGTTTTGATATGGATACCGAATTTGTCGGTGAGCACGTTTCGTAGGTCGCTAGGTTGAAGCTTGTGCCGGACCGTTAGTTCGCGCCTGTGCCAGGCTGCCAGTTCGC